ACCAAAACTGGCCCAAAACACATCTATTCAGAAAGTCCAGCACGGCCCATGTCAAACTGGCCCAAAAGTGGCCCAACCCCGAAGCCCGAATCGCAAAAAGCCCAACCGAGGGCGTAAGCGGTGCGTACTCCTCTGGTACGCTGGGCGTACTCCACCTTGCGTTGACCACCATTGGGGTGGTTGACCCAGTACGTTGTGCATACAGAAATTACGCAGGGCGTACGCAAGTTTCACCAAAACTCTAATAAGTGCTTAATGGCTTAAGCACTTAAGCCCAAATTCCAGATCCATCGACCAAATGTGTCTTAGAACCATAAAGTCTCGAACTTTATGACTTTGGACATCCAGAAAGTTCTTAATACATGGTCTTAACCCATTAAGACCTTTCTACTACATGCATGGGACACTTTTAGCCATTGGGACATCATTTTTATCACTTAGGACCTTTCCTAGGGTCTGAAAGGACAAACTTATTACGTTCAAATCATAACATGCACCAACTTGGGACTTTTGGGACAAGAAATGGTTTCATAAAGCTAATATGGCAAGATCTACATCATACAAGCATAAAGGTTGGAGCTTTTTACCTCTTAGAGCTTCTAGAGCACAAAGTAATCTCAGATCTGCAAGCTTGTCTTCCTTCTCCAACTTCTTGATGCAATACCTTCTTCTCCAACTACTCAAAACACACACTTTTAGCTCACACACTCATGAAAGGGGTTAGGATTTGGGGAAAACGGCCCAAAGCTATGGAGGTTGAGGGGATGGAGGGTTTTCAGCTCATAAGGACGTTTATATAGCACCCAAACCCTAAATATTAGGGTTTCCATCTGTCGTGAGTACGCCCAGCGTACACAAGTATACGCCCAGCGTACTAGGGCGCGCCTAGTACGCTCAATGTACCTTATGTACGCTTAGCGTACTCTTCTTGGTCTCAAAGTTGCAGCTTTAGCCCTTAGGGTTCTCATGGCTTTAGTCTTCCATCCCCAGGGACTGCAAAGGACAAAATAATAATAAAAGAGGACTCGGAAATACATGTAAATATCGGGATGTTACACAAAGTTTCCCCCCAAAGGTGTCACCGATAATACTATAAAAATTACCATCAAAATTTCCCCCCACATGTGTTGCCGCTAATACTCTATATGTCGTCGCTAATACTCTATATGTCGCCGCTAATACCCTTCACATATATAACCCCCTTTAGCTCATTCTTCCCTCTTCTGTGAACTCTTTTCTCTCTGTCGCCACTCCGGCACCAACTCCTTATTTTCTGTTTTTCTTATTATTTTTTTTATCTTCTCCCCATGTGACATACTCGTTGGTGGTGTCGGATTGTTTCACTCCCTTGCCGAAATTGTTGAAGATCTTTCGCAATTTGTTGTTGTCTGCCGGAAATTGGCCGGAAAATTGGTCATATTGCCGGAATACCGCCACCAGTCCACCACCACTCTTCTCCGTCGGATTACATACTACCACATGTTCTATATATGTTTATTTTAATTTTTGTATGTAGAATGGATATTTTGTATATGTATGTGTATTTGTATGTATATCATGTAATATGTGCTTTTGTATGTGTATTATATATGTATTTGTGTATTAGTATGTGTATCATGTATGCATATGTGTTTTTGTATATGTATTATATGTATGTATGTGTTTTTGTATGTGTATTATGTATGTATTTGGGTATGTATGTATGTGTTTTTGGTTATATGTTTTTATAAAGTTTTTATATTTTTATAAAAGTTTTTATAATCTTGTAACATTTGTTTTGTATATGGAATGAACGTTTTCAAAAAACTAAAAAAAAAAGAAAAAAACTACAATTAGTGGTGACAGGGCATTAGTGGCAACGGTAGATTTTAACGGCGACGATTGGAGCATTAGCGACAAACCAACAACGGCGACCCTTTAGCGTCGACATTCAAGACCTTTAGCAGTGACGTCGGTCGCCACTAATGGTCATTATTCTTGTAGTGCTAGAAGTTATTTTTTATAGGAAAAAAAAGTTATCATATCATCATCCCCTTCTCATTTATTGTTGAACTGCGTCATGGTAGGTCAAGGTTTGTTTCTTTAGCCAAAAATCTCTTCTACTGGAAGTATTTGTTGATTGTCATCGGGGTCGTTATTAATATATGAAGATCCATTAGTGGTTTTTGTGTTTTTCTTGATGATTCATTGATATTTTGAAAATCTATGAAACAAATAATCGTTTCCAGATCAACTAAAGCTATGTATGGAGCCATATGGTTCCATTATTACTTAGAGTATCTAGTTACAACACCTATACAGAGATCATCTAGTTACAACATGCGTATCTACAATCAAGTTGGCATCAAATCTAATATTTAATAAACGAACAAAACATATCAAGCATGATTTTTATTTTATCCGAAAAAATATTATTGATTTAAATTGATGACCATACACACTACGTCACCACTAGCCGACATTTTAAACCATTACCATGATTAAACATTTCTACTCCGGTTAATGGGAAAATGACTTATGAGGGTAACTAAGTATCGTCATTGTTTCCATTTGGTCACTTTTTTTGTACTCTATTTACCATTGAACTTGTTTTTGGTGTTCCAAAATACCATTGTAACCTGCTATTGTAGGTTTCCAGTGACTTCATCACCTCCGACGACTCTCCGGCGAGCCTCCGACAAACAGGAAGGGTCGTTTTCCAGATCTTGATTTTTTCTTCAAATGTTCGATATTTCTTCTTGATTTTCCAGATCTAAAAATCGATTCGAGTTCCATAGATGAACCTTAAAATGAAATTGAAACCTTGAAAGAGGGTTTTGTTTTGGTTTCGACTTCCATGGATAAACCTTCATCAACTTCGAGTTCAAGCTGTTCAAACAGCTTCCATGGCAGCTTCAACATCTTTGAGAATCGGAGGTACACAAAAAGAGAATCGAAACCATCCCCTACCGATTTCTAGATTTTCGATCCAAGAACAAGATACACAAACCTAGGGTCTTCAATTTTCAGAAATCTTTCCAGATAAACGAACCTAGGGTTTCTGAAGTTGTTCTTCAGCTTCAATTTCCAGATTTTCGATTTGGAACACACCGATTTCTTGTATGTTTTCATAGATTGTTCTTCAACTCTGATTTTTGCTGGAATGGAGGTCGATATGATGCTGTAATGATGTTCAGATTTTTGTAGATATGAAAAACAAGTTTAAGGCATTCATAGTGTCCTTCGCCGGAAAATTCATAAAATCGCCAGAAATTTCATAAAATTGACGGAAGGTTCATACATCCATTGGAAAATTCATACAGTCATCGGAAAATTCATATATTGACCGGGAAATTCAACTTAACCGACTAAACCTACAACACCCGATCGTAATAGTTTTTGTGAACACCAAAAACAAGTTCAATGGTACATAGAGTACAAAAAAAAAAGTGACCAAATGGAAATAATGACGATAGTTAGTTACCCTCATAAGTCAACAATAATAAGTTTATTATTATTTGAAGTTAAAGAGTTAGGGAATTTTGTTTAATGCATAATTGCATTGTAAGCGTTGTGTGTGTGTGTGTGTGTCT